TTCAGGCTCCCCCTGTAACTCTGGATTAAGAGCAGAAAGATGTAAAGAATGTTGTATTCAAATTGAATACCTGTGTGTTTCACAGTAGAATTTAAAGTGGAAAAGAAGAAACATAACCTCATTTGAAACCCAAATAAAATCAAACTGGTAGATTTTGACCTGTTTCCTTGTGGTCTCACCCAGATCAACTGCAATGGCTTCACAGTGAGTGACCAGAGGGGTCTTCAGGCAGTAGGAGTTGGCCTTTTCCCTAACTTGTGCCTTGTGAATCACGACTGTTGGCCAAATTGCACTGTAATCCTGAATCACGGCAAGTAAGTGGAGCAATATTGTTCTAAAGTTATGACCTCTTACTTTGATTTTTGTTTGTGCTGTTGGGTGTTTGTCAGGGGCTTTTGGTATAAAACTGCTTCATGTTTGTCTTTCAGTCAATCAGCTGTGAATACTATGTATCATTCTCAACGGAGGTGCGTTACCTCAACTGGGCCTTTTCTAAATGTTACTTAGACTGTGACAATAATCACTTCACCAGTTCACCAATTAACCCATGTAACTCTACAACTCCATCTCTGTCAGTAGAGCTATAGTTTACACTAGCAGGTTTGACGTGTTTCCTTTTTCTCATTGACGCTCTAATCATAACTGGTATCACATGTAGGCTATAGAAGTAGTATATATGTATGTGTGTGTATATATATATATATATATATATATATATAAATTAGCCTTCACAAACGTGTGTGGGCATCCTATGAAACAAAGAAGCATTTCCTGAAATGTGTCTACACAAATAACAATGTGTATATAGACTGTGAAATGATAAGTAGATGGAAATTCAGTGTAATTAATCCTGCCCATGCGTTACATGCATTAAAGTTAATTAAATTAGCAAACATTTCAACTTTGGCAACCCTGCAAGGGCCAGAAGAAAGACCGATAAAGCATCCCTAAATTTTGAGCTAGCATCCAACTAATGGAGTAGGGTGTCAAACTACTACTGCATATATGCAATGTATACATACGTATAGAGTACAAAGTTGTAGACACTTCACAAAATGAATAAATTAAAGATATTGGCAACCAAATAAAGCTGTAAACAAGTATTTGTATATTTAGAGCTGAGACATATCATCTACTAGGAGGTCAAAATATTGTCAGATGATTTTACTTGTTATTTGTTGTGATGACACAAAGGGTGGACCAAGAGTGCCTAATACTGCAGTGCCTAAAGTTGAAACCACCATAAACTGTGATGGTGCTGGCTACAGTTCTGTTACCAGTCCAGGCCTTGGTAACAGTCAAATACTTAAGGTGTCTTTAATCTATACCCAGATGTTGATGCCAGTTATGACCAACATGCTATTTTCCTTAACAAAGAGCAGGTGTGCATTTTTCCACCCTTCTTTTCTAGCATCACGTATTTATCTTTACCTGCTGTTTTGTCTATGTGTGTGAACACATGCCATTATGGTTCTACACAATGTCACGCACGTTAATATTACGTCACAGATAAAGGCTTTACTAATTAATTCAGTTCTAACATGATGTAACACCACGAGAAAAAATCAACTTCCTGTCAATGTGTTGTCACAATTATACGCATAAATACATTGTATTATAATATCGTCTACAAGTGTTAGCTTACAAAAGTGAATTTGCTGAAGAAATACGAGACAAACCCTAAAATAAGTAGATGACGTCAACAATATAATTCAAATATCAGGTTTATGTTTACTCAACAAAGTCCAAAAAAGCGTTGGATCGTACTTTTGCGCATTTACATAAAAGTTATATTACCATATACATACGATTTATACCGGAGCTTCCCCGATATTTATAACAACACGTAATAATATGAACCTATCTCCTAGCACAGGTGCTTTGACACACTCGAGACTGCTATTTTTATATTATACTGCGCATGTGCGGTGGATAGTTCAAGTGCTACCAAATAATAGGAATTTGAAAGCTTAATGGCAATTAGGGCTTATGTAAAGAGAACAAGTACCGTAACGATGGTTTCTAATTACAAGTCAAAAGAATATAAAGGTAAAATTCCTACAGTTACATCTTAAATATTAGTACAAGTCGAGGACCACAAAGTACTACAGTATTAAATTCAGAATGTTCAAAACAATGTTTACGTTTGGTTAAAATACTAGTCTACATGTCATGACAACCTATACCAAATAAACACCTTACTTAAATATGACGCAATGTTGCTCGAGATGTAAAATAAAGAATATTTAGGCGTTTGTAGCTTACATTAAATGGAGAATAGAACAGATTATTTTATTTTATTCATTTTTTCCCCATGAGATTTTCTGTAACAGCTAATGTAGTTCAGAGCAAGTACAAAGCAGACATCTGAAGAGAAATGGTCTTTTAATGTTTCATGTCACATTCGGACCTATTAACTGTGTTTTTGTCTTTCACAGGATTGAGCTGCGTTCTTTGGGTAAGATCAAAGAGGGTGAGGAGCTGACAGTTGCATACGTGGACTACTTGAATTTATCAGAGGAGAGAAAAAAGCTGCTGAAAACTCAGTATTTCTTTGACTGCACATGTGAGCACTGCACAAACCACATCAAGGATGATCTGAAGATGGGTGGAAAGGAGGTGGAAGGAGTCAAGGTGCGTTGTTGTTACAGTACTGACATATTTAGTAAAAGGAAGGTTTGAAAATATTTTTCAAACCTTCCTTTTTGCTCCTCTAAAGTACATTTGGATTAAATGATAAAACAAAATGATACATTTTTTACACTAACCAACTAGACTTTAGTGAAAATAACTAAGGATAAGAGTTTTACATTCTTTTAATTAACACTTAAACATTAATTCATGTTATTACGTGTCAAGGTGATGCATTGTAAAATTGAGGAAATATAAATATTTTTTGTATTTCTTTTTTTATAATATAATATACTATAATTATTTAGCAAGATTTTGAAAGAACCTTTGGCCTCTGGAATTTCACTAATACAGATGATATTTGTCCAAAGTCCTATGCAGTATTCCAAGCATGGTGAAATGATCAGAACTAATAGGCAGTTGAAGAAACGTGAGATGCAAGGCACAGTGGTTACTTTAAGCAAAAATAATTCACAAATGATTCAGATTTGAAACAATGGCTGTGAGTCTATTTTAGAAACATAGAATCATAGAGGCATTAGTGAGATAATAATACACTTCAACAGTGGCCTTCACGTGTTCTGGTGGATATTACTATTAATAAAACTGGACCAGTTCTCAGTTGCTGTTCTTCTCTATATTAACAAAACACTAATGGGTTCTGAGTACTCACAGATTTCCCCAGAAAAAGCCCACCCACCCCTCTTCCCCCACTCCCCAAAGAAACATTACCACTTTCAAGTACTGAACCTTTTAACACTGCCTGCATTTCTCATGACATATTTTTTTTCTCTCTGTGTTCTCAGCCTCCAGAAGAGCAGGTAAAAGAGGCAACAGACTTTTGCTTTGAAATTCTGGAAAAGATAGAACAGGCTCGACTAAATGCTGACTACCATGAGGTATTGTACTGTGTTACTGCAGTAACTCAAGTCACCAGGCAACTATTTTCTCACTTGTTTTTCACAAAAACTTTTTTTATTATTATTATTCTGTCAACTGGCTTCAGGTGGTAAAACTCTGCACACAGTGCATTGAGAAGGCAGAGCCAGTGTTGGCCGACACTCACATCTACCTGTTGAGAGTGTGGAGTGTATTCAGTGAGGTACAGGCGTACCTGCAGTACTTTGAAGAAGCTGCTGACTATGCCCGTAAAATGGTGGAAGGATACATGTGAGTACTGAAGTAGAATACTGACCAGTCCGTCAGTATAATGTAGATGAATGGATACACCTGTGAGCCTTCTGTCCTCTGACAGGAAACTGTACAACACCAATAACGCCGCTCTTGGAATGGCTGCCATGAGAGCAGGAGTGAACCACTGGCAGGCTGGGCTGATAGAAGTTGGACATAGTATGATCTGCAAGGCATACGCCATTCTGATGGTCACCCATGGTGCAACACATCCAATCACAAAGGACTTGGAGGTAAAGTTCTCCAACTCTGCATGTACGGTAAACATTGGTCAACATCGTGATTGACTCGATTTACCACGAGCTCTATGTTGACAGGCGATGAGGATACAGACGGAAATGGAGCTGAGGATGTTCAAGCAGAACGAATACGTTTACCACAGTATGAGAGATGCAGCATTGAAGAATAAACCAATGAGCATGATGCACGAACCCAAGTCTATGGAGGAAGGTATCAAGAACCTTTTCCACCGCAAGAAGTAACCTCTGGATCTCAGTCAATAAAATCAACCCATTTACTTTAAACTGCTTTGAATGATGGTGTGATTTTTTTCACTTTTTTCACTTTTTTTATATATAGTACAGTTATATCACTGTACTATATTTTTTCAAAAAAGGCTAACATGACGTTACAATATAAAACAAAATTCACAATTTTGATTGCTTTGTAATACTTTTTTGATCACTGCCAGATCACATGATCAGAGTAGAACAGGGAGATGCGTCTGCTGTGTTCACCCCACCTGACGCCACTACTCAGATTCAGAACACACTGATATTATTAGATTCAGAGCACACTGCTCCAAGATCAGAAAACAGGTCTTCTTTATAGGAGTTTATCCTTATTCTAACAAAATGTCATATATCCTATTGTTACAAGCCCTGGCTTCAGAGGCGGATCATAAACAAGAGAGACTGAAAACACCACCCTCTAGTGGAGAACATGCACAAGGTTGTGACTCATCTCTCAAACCACGTTTAGTGAATATTAGAATTAATTCTTAGACATCACACATCTGTTACAAACCCGGAGATCCTATTGGAGACAAAAGGTTTTTTTGTAAAATCCAGTAATAAAACCACAACCACGAAAACCACAGTCATACTTCTCTATAAATAAAGTCCCTTCCTTCCTTCCTTCCTTCCTTCCTCTCAATATTTGATGTGACATTTATTTACCCTGCTCACTAATAATTTTATTTTAATTGTCTTGGCACTAATATTTATTTATTTTTACTAAATTTACCAGGTACACTTACATTAATGCTCACTTGCAATGTCAACAAACCAGATACAAATTCACTTTGTTTAAAATTGACAGATTCAGTGAAACACTTGAAACAATTTGTTGACATACATTAATGAGTATATAATCCAAATCTTAAGTGTAGTAGTATAACAATTACCACCCTTAATAAACCAGATGCCGTTCTTAACTTGAAGTCTAATCCAAACTCAACGATCAGGTGCAACAGTAACTGAACCAGACTGAATTCTGAAGTTGTTTCTTTAAACCCAAAGTCCACATCTTGAATCTTGAATCTTTGAATCTTGAATCTCACACAGCAGGACCTGCCCTGAGGATCTGTTATCTGTGGTCCAACAAACTCTAGACCATAACACAGACTGGACATCCTAATCTGCAGCCTCATCAGGTCATGTCAACTATTATTACCATTTATTGCACAGAGACTTTCAACTGGTGAACAAATCAGACGTTGAACCAAGTTGTAAAGAAATCCATTAGACAGTATTAGTTTTTTCACATTTTATTTTCCCCAGTTTACGAGTTTACATTCGTTTGCTTGTTCTCTTGTAAACGATGTTACCGAGAGTCATAGTCTGTGGAGAAAGAAAAAAAGAAAAGTTAAATCTGATCTAGGTGTATGCTGTAGCACCAAAATGCAGTTGTGTTTTGTTTTTTACTCACGTTAACAATTGTGTTTCCATCTACCAGTTCTGTTACAGACTCGATTCCCTTCAGGGAGACCTTCAGTTTGTTGCCTTCCCGGTGTACGACCGCCTTTAGTCATGTGACATTGACGGAACAATGTATTAAAACTGAGGACAGTTCTGGTTCAGTTTGAATTAAATGATGATTCATTCAGAACAACCCAGCACAGTGTTTCTTGATCCTAGAACTGGACTCACCTTGATCTTCTCTCCGGTGATGGTCTCCAACTCAGCCTCCTGTCCGATGGTGAAAGTGTTGACCAGGACATTTGTGCCGGTTGTGACGGTCACCTTGAAGCTGTCACCAGTCTCCTCAATCTCAGAGACGCTCTTGATGTCCTTGCCCTTCTGGATGAGATCATCGGGGAGACCTAGGACCCAGAGAACACATGTTCGAGCTCAGATCGACAAAAGCCATGGTGCTCCTGGCACATGAGACAAACCTTACCAATGGCCTTCATGAAAGGCTCAAAGTTCTCCTGAGTCTCGAGCTGGTACTTCCCAGAGAAAGACATGATGGCAGCAGACGGCGAAGGTAAACTCTGAAGGTCTTCCCAGTCTCTTTTATACCCTCAAACCCCAGCGCTTCAATCATTAACAGCAGGTGAGTGAAAATAAGGCCGCTTCAGATCACCTCATCCAGCACAGCACTCCAACACTGATAAAGACACAGAGTGAGTGATAAGGGACTGGTCCAAAGAGACCGGGCAAAAGTTAGGTAATCTCTAATCCTTCCACACTTGTCTGTGACAGGTCTTATTTCGAGGATCTGACTGTCTTTTACAAAAATCACCAGTGTTGCATGAATTAAAATTGCAGTGAATGCAGTCAGTGCGTGATTTATCTTATCTATTTACCTTTTTTTATATATTTCCCCTTTCAACTTCTCTTTTTGCATCTTGATTGTCTTTGTTTTTCCTCCTTTTTTAAATGAATAACCTCTGCACTATATTCACTCAAACCTTTTTTTTTTTGCCTTGCTTTTTCTGTAGCTCCGAAGGAAAATATTGATGGATTACCTGCAGATACAGAGACACATTTTTATCAAACAGTGTGAATCACCAGTCTTATTATGTAAAGAAACATACAGTACAGTAACACATTATTCAGAAAAAAGGTTTTTTAAAGTGAGTCTGACATCTAATGCAAAATTTTTGTCATATACTGAATTTGGAGGAAAGGAAACAAGAAATGAAAAATCAGTTTATGAAAATGTACTGCTAGTCTTTTTAACTTTTTAACCATTTGAATCAGTTTGACTGTCTCAGTATTACTGTCTCATTCATTCTCAGCATGTTTGACAACTTTTTAAACTTTTATATGTATTTATTTTTTTATATCCTTTCACCAGTCACCACCCACACACTGAGCCGAGGTTTGACATTGACATGAACTAATCTTATACCAGATAAAACCCCAGTTTATAACTTTATTTCTTGGATAAAGAGCAGATCACCGTGTAATCAAACGTCCATGGTTGTCATCTCTTGTCATCTGTGTCTTCTTTGTTTTCTTCATTTGTTGTGTTCATTAATCTAGATTTTTGAATTTGTACATGCAGATTAAATATACAGTAGATTTAATTGGCACTGTTTCTGCTGATTGATCTCCTGTTCACTGTGACTGTTCTGGTGAAAAGATAAGCTCCTTTTACAAATTAGACAGACCACGACACAGTGATGGAATTATTCAGTGTCCACAGCACAGCGTAAACACTTTTTTTTTATTACTCTGTGTTGTCACATCTGTCTGTCTGTGACGCATTTATCGTTTAAAAGAATGGTCATTTAATCACAGTGTTAATACAGAGCTTATCACTGCATCAGATAATTTGTTACAACACCCACTCTGTCATGGAAATACACTAGGAGTCACATGACGAACATTTGCATTTGTATAGGCGTCTGGCCTGTGGCTGGGTAAAGTACTGTAGGTACTGTAGATGATAAAGAGTTGCGTCGTGTGATAGAGAGATGATAACAACATCACTGACCTGTTCTTTACAGCCAGTACTGACTGGATTAAAAGACATACGATAATATCGACCAACTGATATTATTGGCCCTACAATAGCATAACTATAATATCTGTAAGTCGTTAGTGTTTTTTTCTCCAATAAGTTCACCAGATATGCTGGAATCGCTGGAATTGTGGGGTCCTGAGACGACTGCATACATCGATATCGGTTGATATCAGAATTGGAAATTAAGTAAGAAAGAAAGAAAGAAAGATTTGAACTGTATCGATCCCATATTTGGGAAACTCCTGTGTTAGCAGCAGTTATGCTGTTTACAGGCTCCCCCCAGCAGGCGCCAAGCATGTGGTGCCTCTTGGTAATCGAACCCAGGACTCTCTGCTCTCTGCTTCCAAGGCCGGCGCGCTAACTGCTAACCGCTACACTATGTGTAAGAATACCGAGATATCTGATAGATAAGAAAGTCAATCCATCCATCCATTCATTTTCATTCGCTTATCCGTTACCTGGTCGTGGGGGCAGCAGTCGCCACCTAAATCACACTGCACCGTACCAACCCCCCCTAAACCTTTCTGCGGATGGTGAGTCCACTGGAAGGTACCAACCTCCCTACCCGGGATTTGATCTTGCCCAGGAGGTGAACCCTGGGGTTCCACACCAACGACAGAGACACTGCCTCTGGGCCAAAGCGCCACTCAGAAAGTCAATATCGGCCATTTTTAGTGAGTGATTTTAAATGAAAGACACAAATTTATACTCTCTGAAAGTTTATTTCAACACGCAGATATCTGGATGACCATGTTCCATATTCATACCCGTTTTCATACAGAAAAATATATCGACAAAGGCGCTGTACAGAAGTACAGACGGAGAACATTCTGAGACGGACAAAGAACGACCAAGGTAAACGTACAAAGAGTTATTTTACAACTAGTCTAATCACGGTTCCGGAAGGCCTGGGTTCTCGAGGAGCTCAGTGGTGGTTCTGGTGGGGAGTGTTGTGACTGGCCAGATGCAGCAGTCGTAAGATGATGTCACCGGGGTCGCTGCCTTCCAATGGGCTGGTCTGATCGTTGGCCTCTTCTTCGCTGAGGCAGGATTGGTCTGTGGTACAACCCTCTAAAAGAACAGAAGGGTCCATTAGTTTACAATGTACTGTTATCACAGCAGCGGCCTTGTCAGAAACAAAGGGCAAAATCAGGGGTTGATCTGGCAACAGACGGGTTAGTCATAACAAGACTAAGACATAAACCTGATGTGCAGTATCTAGTATTTTTTATTTGTTCTAATAAAAAACTAATTTTAGGAAAGAAACCATCGCAGAAATCAGACTGAACAGACTGCTCACACAGTGGATGGAGTGGTTAATTATTTCGCCTTTCATTAGAAAAATCAATGGCTTGATGCCCGGTTGTTCTGTATGAAATTTGCATGTTTCACACATGTGTGAATGAGTTTTCTTTTGTAACTCTAGTTTCATCCCAAAGTCCCAAACATTTCAAATTAAGTAATTAAGTTAATTAAACCCTTTAAATTCACAACATGTATGACTGTGAGTGTGAATAGTTGTTGTCAACCTTCAAGTGCTCTGTGTTTTTAAACTTCTTTATGCTGCTGTTTTTCTGATATTCTTATTCAACGACAACCTGTTTGATAGAAGGTTTATCAAAAGTTCTTGGAGTCACGAACAGTCCTCCAAAGTCCTTGTCATCTCTTATCTGTCCCTCAGGTTTTTGTGTCATAAGACACATTGAACTTTTTCAGATGCATTGAACTTTGACCTCTGGCCGTGAAGTAGCTGTGAAACAGATTGCACATTAAACGCTCCGGAAAATTTCCTCACCTGCATCACAGCAGAGACCTGAGGCAGCACAGCGTCCTCCCTCAGATCCACAGGGTCTCCCTCCTGCCTGGCAGGGGCTGAGCAGGTAGTTCTCCTCCATGCAGTGAGCTGTTTCAGGAGAACCCATCAGGCAGCCCAGTCCCTCTCCGCAGCAGATGCTGGGGCCAAAGCAGCGCCCCCTGTCTCCAGGGCCACAAGACATGCACTGATGGAAGAAGAAACAACTCTTCATTCTAAATACAATATATAACACCTGTGATTCACAAATAACAACTAATAACAGCTGTTGAAATGGTAACCCTACACCAGCTGCTGAGGCAAACACTGTAATAAGTCAAATAAGCAATGATTCTCAAATGATAAGGTCTGAAGAGTTACAGTTAGTAAAGAAGTTGAAATGTCTTCACC